TCCCTACATTGTACTAAGTATAGGGTTGAAACAATCAAACCAGCAATTGGTAAGGACCTGATCCTGCCTCCACGGAACTACTTGGCCAGGCTCCTCCTGGCTACTGCGGAGCACGGGATCGCATCTGCAAAGCAAGACCCACAAAACGTCGACAACTCACAGCAACAACTGCTGCGGGCCCAATCCTGCCAACGTTTCTACAGGACCAGCGGTTTCAGCAGAGCCCAACTAGCTCCCTCAAAACACGACTGCCCTCGCCATAGTGAGACTTTCAGCACATAATTCCTACTCTTAAATGTTCAGAGAACAGCCACTTCTGTTCCTCACGTTATTCTTCAGACAATAACGCCGTCAATTCTTTAAAAAGCAGTAATTAAAAACATTACCCTCTGTGAATCTAAGCAACCAAGTATCTGAGTGATAAGCAGCTTTTAAATTAAATGATATAATCAATTTGAAGCGTGACCGAGAAAGCTTATATGCCATTAAATCAGAGATCAATGCTATCAATGTTATTAATTAATGTTAATGCCGTTTAGCACTAGAAAAATGTGCATTTTCATATTGATTTGTTAATAGGAAATAATTCCCACCGACAGGATGAGGAATAAAATACGGTAACGTTTCCTGCTCGCACTAGAACTGCACTCTGCAAGCCAAAACCTGGGCGTCCGCCCACAGCACATACACAACAAAAGGCAAATGCATAAAGAGCTTCAACAGAAATTTTAGTTGGTTTCGCATACTCGGCACAATTTTATTTATTTTTTTAAACGCACTGGGATGAAAACTGGAATCTGAAGGAGAGTTAAACAGGACCTTCTGCTAATTTATACAGTGTTAATGTTTTCTTCCGATAGCCGGGCTCCCCACGGCTTGCATCGTATGTTTTTTGCCTTAAAGTCACCATACCTGTATCTTTTGTTATCCACTGGCACAATATCCATAGCAATATAATACTGCTGATGTGGGTCTAAACCTGAGATCTTCACTCTCATTGCGGGAAACATCCGCCTGAACACGGAAAGAGAGAGGTCATTTTTAATACGAAACAGACTCGGGAATGGTTGTTTAGGAAAAGTAACCGGTTCGTGGGATTTTTCTCGTTCTTCCTTTTAGCCTACGGAGTCCTTTTGGACGATTGTAGTTACATAGCCATGAAATGGCCCATTCGATATGTCAAAACAGATTTCTAAAGTGCATTTACTCGAACAATGCTTCGTATGTTTTGGGATACGCTTTGGGAGTACAGCTATTACCACATCATTTCAACTTTATTGTTAGACAGTAAATCATTCGGTTTTGAGACTTGACTTTAGCAGGACACGCATTTAAAGCCGTTTGAGGTACTAGCTAGAAATGTATTTCTGGAGATGGGCAAACGCCGCCTCCTCCCAGGGAGACCAATACTTACAGAAATGCAACCCGCCACTGGAGTTTTCAACTGACAGCAGCAAATGGCGCATCATTTCTGCAGCAGCAAATGAGAAAGCTAAATCCACGGCGACACGACTGCAACACCGCAAGGATGCGGCTGTAAAAGCCAACGTGCCATGCCGTAACCCAACAATGTGGTCTTTATTGAGACGGGACTTCCTGTCTGCAACTTACTAAAGGTGAAGTCCAAGAGCTACTCTGTCTTTGAAAGGTATAGTAAAACTTCTTTATTGAAAGCAGAAACGAATCTACGGGGTAATTTCTAAAAAAAAAAAAAAAACCCAAAAAAAACCCCACGCCAAAAAAAACCCCAAGACCCAAACGTTCACGATTCAGATCCTTCTGCGGAGAAAGCGGAGTAATTAACTGATGCGGTGGTTTTAACGCAAAAATGCGTTCCTTAGCTGACGTCTGGCATGCCTTTTATCAAGAAAGTTCATTCTTGAAGCCAAAAAAAAAAAAAAAAAAGTCCTAGCGACGAGCTGACTGCAAGCTAATGAAAGGCACTTTTCTGTATTTTATAAACCTGAAAGCCATTCCAGTTTATTCAGTATTTGCTGCTGTTCTTAAATATATATATATATATATAAAAAGTCAATTAGAAGTCGTTACTGGAAAGAAAAATCCTATCTTCCTTATTTCTGAATAAGCAGGGGGGTAAACCCGACTGGGGTTAACACTTTTCGCTTGTTATTTCAGTGCACCTGTAAGATAAAACAGAAATTCCCCGACTGGACTCTTCTGAAGACAAATGTTGCTTTGTGCTGTTTAAGACTGCGTTTCAATCATTAATAGAGCCTCTCTGAAAATGTAGAAGGTAGCATATGGATTCAATAAAATATGTTTTTGTAATTTCTAATAAGCTGAGATACTTTTATACTACCCAGGTTTTTACCATGTGTATCCACTGGAAAGGGGAAAAGTTTCCCCTCAGAAGGACACGGCGCTCCCAGACCTCGCCCTAATGAACAGGAAACCCGAAACGCCACATGCTCCCGTGCCCATCTAAAATTATCGCCATCTACCTGCCTCGTAAATCTGGGGGGGGGGGGGGGGGGCCCCCCGTTTTTTGCCCCCC